CATTTTTTCAATATTAAGTTGGCAAAACTTACAGGACTGTATCAGATTTTGGAGCCTGAAACCATAAAATTTCGGGGTCGAAACATCTATCACATAGTCATGGCATGCGTTTTGGTGTACATGTGTTTCATCTCTATGATTTTGTTGCTCAGTAGTCTGTACTACTGGACGGTTAATATACCTATAAGTATGGATTATTTTAATAAATCAGTGACGTCATTTTACATTATCTACAAGACTGTGATCATTATCTGCCACTCGAACGACATATGGAATTGTCTGTCAATAACGCGGTACGATTTTACGTCGTTCTCCAACCGAAACAGACACATACTGGATCGTTGGCGAGATCGTTTGGTGTGGTTCACGACCATTTATGCGACAATGTATTTCACTGCGACGGTCAGTTACTTGGCCATCACCTTGGCATTCAGTGAAGAAAAGTTACCAGTAAAAAACCATGACGGTTCAATCGGGTATTACCGACAGAACGCCATGAATTTGTATTTATTCGTATCCGACGAAACTTACAACGCATTCTATTATATGTTTTATTTCGTCGAGGCATTATTCGGCACCTTTATAGAATTATTTTTCTTTATATTCGATTTTCTACTGGTTACACTGTGCTTTAGTATGTGCTGTCAGATGCAAATAATTTGCTCTGCGTTCGAGTCGGTTGGACACAAATCACTTCTTGACCATCATTCTCCAAATGGTAAGTACGACATTTAAGGTACACTCAATAGTGTACAGTGTATAAGTAGGTACTAAATAAATGAATAGATACAAAAGGTTTGTAAAACTGTCCAAAGTTAACAACCTAAACAACTAAAAACTTTGTTTCATAATTTATTGAAAATACTCGACCAGATTCAGTGGCGCACAGAGATATTTTGAGAGCACATGCAACTAACAAAAGTTACCCACCCACCAACCCATTTTTTTATTTAAAAAAACGTTCTTTGAAACTGTTATTTGTAACTGTAATTAACTTAAAATGCCTATACTTTATCTATGTACCTATAACCATAGGCGTCTATACCTACCCACCCACCCACCCCCCATGAGAGCACATGCAGTTGCACCCCTTGCTAACCGGTCTGGGCGCCACTGACCAGATTTCAGTTTGATAGTTATCAAACGTAATGTTTTGGTACAATTTTGAACATTTTGTTTGGTTCGTTTCGGTTCAAAGTAAAAAATTACTTATGTAATACTATCTTGGGAAATGTGTTTAATTTTTACCAATTTGAATTTATGTCTCGAAGTCCGTTGATTTGATCTATGTTTATGTTTCAAATGGTAAATTTAACCCTTTGAATATTTTTTTAGCTCATAGAGAAGTATATATTTTGTAATATATAAATATATATTTTTTTATTGGAGTACTCATTTAAATGATTATACTTGATTATTGGTGACAAATATTTCAATTATAATTAAATATTGGCTGGTCATAAAAATATGAAGATACCACCTTTAATTTTGCTCCTATATATACTCAACGTAGAATATTTTTGTATAATTAGCAGGATCTTAATACAGTTGTACCTTATTGATAAATCACAGCATTCAAAAATAATTCTTAACGTTTCAGTAAAAATAACAATTTCTCTCATTTCATCAATTTGTTATCATCTTATGATGTTATGATGTCTTTTTCAGTTTACAACCAAATTTCAACGATTTTTGTATTTCTTATGGTACTTTTAGCGTGTCTTCGTTGACCAAATTAGTATAACTAAAAACAAACATTTTATAACGTTATAAATTCCAAAAGTTGCCCATACTTTTAGTATTTTTACTAAGTTACTGGAATATTAACACCGTCACTATTTTGTTTTGTAGATTACGCAGTTGAAAATATAATGATATCGCCTAATGAACACGAGTTAATATATGATGAATTAATAACAATCATAATGGATCATCAATTAGTAATGAAGTAAGAGTTAATACAATGTTTTTTTTTTTTTTTTGAATTATCATTAAATTGTATTATATTTGCACTGATAAATGAAGCATTACTTACTAAATATGCATGAAAAGAATCATTACCTATTTAAGTTATCATAATATCAAAAGCCATATGGGTAAGAACTAATAGGATACGTCATGATGTATATTATAAAATGTTAATGCAATATTAATATATATCTGACATAGTATTATTTAAACTAAAACTAGGTACCTACTGCAAAAATAAATTATTTTTCCAAAAGAGTTTTTTTGGTTTAATGCCAATTATACCTAAGTTCTAAATAGTGTTGTGAACAATTGTTTGATAATTGGAAAACTGAATGTATGTGTAGAATGTATCATTAGTATTAACTATTAAACATAACCGTAAGTTTTTAACCTTAAAAACTGTTTTTATGTTCTACACATATCAAAATAATCAACAAAAAATGATTAAACAATTAATTTCAAAATGTAATTTTTCTTTTGTAGGCGGGGGTAGATGTACTATTCATCCAGCTCCACATACCTTTTATAAATTAAAAAATGAATTATTAGGGACTGAAAAAATCTAAATCAGGCTTTAACCGGATGATCCGACAAATTAAATAAATTTTGTTCTAATAAACGTTTTTAATATTTTTTTCTTTGTAATTTATTGACAATTACTATATCACATTTTACAGTATATAAAGACTATTCACTTTAATCACCACAGCTTATAATGTACAACTGTACATGTAAGGCGAACTTGATTTCATTTAATTACATTTAATTAGTAAAAAATACTGTCAAATAAAAATTCAAACTAATTATGTAGTATAAGATGTAAAACTTTAAACTAAAGAACACTAATGGTTTTTAAGCTTCTAAGTTGGTTTAACATTTTAATTCGATAATATAATAATATCATTGTATACGAAAAACGTTTCTGAGCGTAGAGGTCTGTCAGTCTATTATACATTATATAAATAGTTGGGAAAGTTAATGATTTTTTTTTTTTTTAACTCAGTTAGTTAATATGTACCAATAAAAAAAAGTTAAAAGTTAAAAGTTAATTTAACAATAGGTTAACTCAATTATGTTAAAAGTTAATACGCATTTTTTGTTAAATTTTTATTAAGTTAAAAAAAAATTATTTGTTTATACAACGCGGCTAGCGTACTTAATTTTTTCCAACCCAAAACTAAATTTTAGTCTATAGTGTTTAAACTTAATACATAGTATTTCCAAATAAGTTAGATTCAAATGATATATATATTTTTAACTTTAAACAATTCAAGGGAAATATTTTTTGAAATGCAAATGAAATAGACTGAAATAATGAAATATTATAAAATTAAAAACAAAATAAATTACCTTAACTTACTTCCTAAAATGAAAAATTAATTCGTTAATTTCACGTTAGTTAAAAAATAAATTTAGTAAGTTAACCGTTACGTTAATGAAAAGCTAAAAGTAACTAAAAAATAAACTTTTTAACCTAACTTTAACTTTTTAACTCATTAATGCCCAGCCTTGATTATATAATAATAAATAAAGTTTTTATTACTTATTATTAATGTTGTAGCCTGAAATTTGAATTAATATTATAAAATTGAAAAAAAAATTAAATCGTTATTCTTGCAGGTTATGTTACGTACCCACGTATTTAGTAATTAAGTAATAACAATGTACGACGTAGCGCAGGTTTCTAATAGTACTCGACGATATAATTAATAAGGCAATTAGTATATTATAACACGTTAGGGACACTGTAAAAGTATCTCTCTAGGAAAGTCAAACATTCATACGAAGGATACGAGTCGACCAGCATACCAAGTACGAGACCAGGACTCTGTCTCATGACCGAATTTTGCCACTACTATGACCACCCACTCCAAAGGACTCGATCATATAAATACCAGCCCAGGACAAGAGCTCGTCAGACGGTTAGGGATACTCAAGACACTTGGAGGCAGGTCGTAAAACCACTCACAGTCTTAGTATCATTTTGGAGGCAGGTCGTAACACCACTCAAAATCTTAGTAACAATTCAGAGTCAGGTCGTAACACCGCTCACCTCTCTACATAAGCTTTATACATTGTATGTTTTGTACTTAAATAAATACTCATAATAACCAAGTGCATCAAGTATTCATTTCCACGTTGATGTATATATCGACGTCAGTTGGGACGCAACAGAATTTTGGCGCTGTGGACAGGGACTTCCAAGATACAAGGATCATTCAACAATATTTTTCGAAATATTTTGGATCAACTTCAATCAACAGAGGCAACTTCACCTTCGTGGATCACCGTTGAGCTGAGGAGTGCACGCTTCAATTCAACGACTCTGGGAAGACCGAACGTTTGTTACAATCCAACTACGGCGAGAGAGATCAAGCAACGAGATGAATACAGCAATGTTGTAAGCATAATTTATATAACCGTCTCCTTTGGTCTATTGGTCCATCGTATTTAGGGAAAATTATTAAAATATTATTGAAGGGCATATTATAAAAAGTTATTTAAGGGGCAATTTTTTGAAGATATTATTGAAGTTATTAAAGGGCATTTATTGAAGTTATTTTTATGAATTATTAAAGGGCATTTATTGATTATTATTGAAGGGCAATTATTGATTATTATTGAAGATTATTTTGTGAACTATTAAAGGGCATTTATTAAGAAGTTATTATTATGAATTATTAAGGGTATTTTATATTATTTTGAGAATTATTGTGAATTATTACAGGGCATTATTGAGATTATTATTGAGATTATTATTAATTATTGAGGCCATATTTTTGAGTTCATCTTATTATTTAAGTACAACTCCCTTGGAATTAGCTACTCCATTGTATAGAACACGTGTAGATTTTGTAGCCCATGTTTTAAAGTCCCTAGCCCATGTCTAAAGCCTGCCAGCCCGAGTAGAAGCCCCAGCCGAATTTAAAACCCAAATCGAATAATAAGTCAATTAAGATTATATTAAATGAGATTATAATTAAAGGATTAGTGTAAAAAAAAAAAAAAAAATAAATAAATAAATATTAATGAACAATAGTTCAGAAGGAATTATTAATGACGAATTTGAAACGATAGCTAGAGAAACGTTAGATAGAATAATTGAAATAATCGAAAACGAAAGTAATTTAGAAATTGACGTAAACAATACTGATAGCGAAATAGTTGACAACATAGAAATAAATAATTTAGACGAAGAATTAGATTTATTTAATGAAGAAATACTTAATGAACGTATAGAAACTAAACCAATAACCAGTGATATATTAAATAAAAGTTTACGATTAATAAACCTAGAAGAGTTTGAAAATAGTCCTACTACTAGCGCAATTCGTCAAGGGTTACGAAGTAGTAGAAATACTATACACACCAAATATATTCAACCAAAAAGAACAGTTAAAGTAAAGAAAATGCCAGGTAGTACCGACGGGAAATCCATAAGTGCGTTAGACGCAATAAAATTAATTCCTAACTATTCAGGACAAACTGAAATATATCCATTTTTAAATGCATGCTAAGTAATCATAAATACGGTAGATTCAGAACAACACCCTTTTATGTTAAAAATGATAGCAGCTACTAAATTGTCAGACAGAGCTTTTAATGTAACCAGATATAAGGAAATTAAGGTATGGGAAGATATGAAAAAAATATTATTAGACGCATTCGAAACTCCCTATGGCGCAGCTAATTTACAAATCGAATTAAATATAATAAAATTAAAAAATAATGAAACCATATGCGCGTACAACAATAGAGTAGAAGAAATATACCAAAAACTATGTAACACAGTAGCCATAGACAAAACACCGGCAGTAGCACAAATATTACGCGACAATATTAGGGAACAAGCTTTAGTCAGTTATATAAACGGTTTAAGCGACCAAATAAAATTTGAAGTAAAAACAAAAAGTCCTACCTCTCTTGAACAAGCAATGCAAATCGCGTTAATTACCGAAAAAAAATATTCGTACTCACAATGATGTACAAGAAATTTTCCGCGCAAATAATACGTACAACAATAGAAATGCTCATCAAAATAGGCAATATAATAATAATAATCAAAACACAGCGTACAACTATCGTAATAATATTAATAATAATAATACTAACAGAAACAATTCCTACGATAGGAATACTAATAGAAACCCGAATCCAAGAAGCAACAATTACAATGTTAGGCGTTGTCATACATGCAACCGCGAAGGACATTTTGCATCGCAATGCCGAATGAACAATGTAGCGTATAATAGTAGACCACCCAATCAGAATAATTTCACACGTCCACCCACTAATTATAATGCAAGGAGCGATACCTGCACTTACTGCAATAAACCAGGACATAATATAGCCGCCTGCTATAAAAAACAAAACGACGAGCGACGTAATAAAAATTCGGGAAACGAGCGGACATCTCACGTACCCCCCGGAGCACGTGCGATCAATCACATATCCGTGGACCCATCCGAGATTGTTACCCCATTATATTAACGAAAATAAACAACAATAATCACATAAAATGTAAATCACCCGCCTGTATAAATGAAGAATTAGAATTTTTAGTCGACACAGGTAGCGAAGTAAATATAGTAAAAAACAATATATTAAATTACGATATAGTAGTAGATAAAACACAAATAGTAAATTTAAAAGGAATTAACGATAAAATAATACAAACAATAGGCAAGCTTACAATACCTTTGATAATCCAAGGGCAAGAAATTAGCACCGAATTTAATTTAGTTGACGAAAACTTTCCAATAAGGAAAAATGGTATATTAGGAAATAGTTTTTTATCAGAAAATAACGCTGTAATAAACCTAGCCAATAAAACTCTAGTAATTAATGCTAACAAAAATAAACAAAAGGAGTTACTATTAACCCCAAGATCAGAAACAATCGTATCAATACCTATAGCTGCAAAGGATGTAGAAAGTAAAGATATTTTAATTCACAAACAAGAAATAATGGAAGGCGTATTTTGTGGAAGCGTAATAAATACCGTACAGAACGGTGAAGTAATAATTAGTATTTTAAATATAACCGAAAAACCCCAAAGCATTATGTTAAGCAATTTAAATAAAATACGATATGATCATGAATTCGAATATAATACTCAGTCAACAGTACAAGACGATAATAAAAATAAACGCATAAAAGAAATAAGACAATTGATTAGGAGCGATCATATGGATAATGAGCAAAGGCAAACTATTTTGGAAATATGTGAACATTACCAAGACATATTTCATTTAACGGGAGACACGTTAACATATACAAATACGTTAACGCATAAAATTAATATACCAGAGAATCAGGAGCCCATATATAAGCGACCGTATCGCTTACCACACGCGCAAATGGCCGAAATAGATTCTCAAATCAAACAAATGGAAAAAGACGACATTATTGAACCCTCCTTTTCACCATGGAATGCTCCCTTACTTTTAGTAAAAAAGAAACTAGATGCGAGTCAAATACCAAAATTTAGAATAGTTGTTGATTTTCGAGCTTTGAATAAAGTAACGATAAACGAGTACCACCCACTACCCAACATTACCGAAATATTAGATCAGCTAGGACAATGTAATCTGTTCAGTATTATTGATCTTGCTTCAGGTTTTTACCAGATAAAATTAGACGAAAAAAGCAAAGAGCTTACAGCCTTTTCAACTAACCAAGGTCATTGGCATTTTAAAAAAATGGCAATGGGTCTTAAAACATCTCCATGTTCTTTCCAACGATTAATGAATAATGTAATGGCTGGTATCGTAGGCATAAAATGTTTAGTGTATCTAGATGATAAAATAATATACGGCAAAGGGTTACTTGATCATAACGAAAAACTACACGACGTATTCGAACGATTACGAAATCATAACTTAAAAATACAACCAGCAAAATGCGAGTTCTTAAAACAACAGTGTATGTATTTAGGTCATATAATTAGTGAAAACGGCATACAACCGGATCCTGCAAAGGTCGAATCAGTATTACGGTTTCCAGCACCAACAAACGTTAAAGAAATCAAATCGTTTTTGGGACTTTCTGGGTACTATAGGAAATTTATAAAATCTTATAGCTTAATAGCAAAACCAATGACAAACCTATTAAGGAAGGGCGTTACCTTTAACTGGGACACCCCTTGCCAAGAAGCATTTGATAAATTAAAATTATGTTCCAATATTAAACACGTACCTTTCCTATTACTAAATAATATAATAATTAATAACCAATCGATGTTAGTATCTTGTCTTGTTCCAGATAAGACAATCACACGGAAAATCCAGATTACTTTTATTATACAACGCGTAAAAGACGTATAAAATACATAACAACAATGCCAGTACGGGAATTCATTCCTAGACGGGTATTATACCTAATGATGTTAGAATATTCGTTGAGGTACAACGATCACGTATACCAGTACACGATAAACAGTGATGGACCTACGTGTCTAAAAAACCATATGAGAGTAGCCAATGAACATTTACCGGTACCTTATACTGCGGAAATGCATAGAATTATGGAAATAATTACTATGACTCTCCGATTAACAATTTTAGTACGCGAAATACACGCACCCACATGTCTGGATTTGGCAAATTTAATAATCGAATTAATACAAGCCGCCGAGGCAGCTGAATAAAACTAACATAAGGGATTACATTTAAATAGATAGTAATACTAATATCTCGCAATGTAAAAATATTATCTAAATAAAGTTGTCTCACATTTAATCATAATATATATTTTACAGTGACAAAATCAAATTCATAATAGTGGACTTCGAGTTCACTAGTATAAATAAGACGGATCTGTTACTTATATCGGGGTCATTATCAAACAGTCTCGACAAATATAAGCCAGTTAAACTCGAAGGCAAACCAATCGTGTTAACTACCACCAATAAATTAAAGATGTTACAGCATCGCGAAATCAAGCAGGTAATGCGTAGTGTTGGAAGGATATTTAGGAACAAGCCAGAGAAGTTAATACCTTTATTGGGGCAGTTAGAATTAAGTCTAAAGCTCGAGGGGGCGACAACTCTGTCTACCATATATCTCAACCAATACTTGCATACCGACGGAAGAACACCAATCATTGTTTTTTTCAACGGGACAACCGATAAAAATATAATAACCCGATTACAATTAAATGTAAAGAAAATGTTGGATATCACTTCATATAGTGATAACGACGATAATTATTTTAATTTAAAACTTCTAGATGTAACAGGATCTACCAAAAAATTAATATATTCAACTAAAATAGGTTACTACCAGAAAAACGGAAGAATGCTGAATCTAATGGAAACCCATGATTTAATATGCAAAATAAACCATGACATAACCCATAGCCACGACCCAGTAGCGGATGTAATTATCACCAAATGTTTGTTTAACTATATTATCAGGGATATGGGACCAATACAGTTATACAAACTATGTAAAACAGATAGGTATACAATAAAATAATCATAGTAATCAAAGAGTGTCAATTCAATAGTGTAGACTATACCTATAACTGGGAAATCAGGGAGTCGATAAGATTCCACACAATTGAATGGACATACTCTAGGTAAACAAATTAACTTTCTTTTCTTTTTATTATATATATATATATATATAGGCAACATATATAAGACCAATAGATTACAGGAATGAATATATAAATATGTAATAATAATAATGTGAAATTGTATAAATTATAATAGATTAAGTATTTAACCACAAATGTATAGCCACCATGTACTAACACTAGAATAAGAAGGAAATGTAAAACAAAACAAAACAAAAAAAAAAAATGTATTAATATCTAACAATTATTATGTGCTTAACCCAATGTATCACTATTTTATAATCAGATGTACTAGATTTCTAAATGTAACAAAGTATCACTACTTCATATAACAATGTATCACTATCTTATAACCAATGTATCATATATGTAAAATTGTTATAATACCGTAAAATGTTAAAGATTTATGTTTAAGCTTTTAAACATAAAGTCTTTTTTTTAGAAGGGAGGTGTTACGTACCCACGTATTTAGTAATTAAGTAATAACAATGTACGACGTAGCGCAGGTTTCTAATAGTACTCGACGATATAATTAATAAGGCAATTAGTATATTATAACACGTTAGGGACACTGTAAAAGTATCTCTCTAGGAAAGTCAAACATTCATACGAAGGATACGAGTCGACCAGCATACCAAGTACGAGACCAGGACTCTGTCTCATGACCGAATTTTGCCACTACTATGACCACCCACTCCAAAGGACTCGATCATATAAATACCAGCCCAGGACAAGAGCTCGTCAGACGGTTAGGGATACTCAAGACACTTGGAGGCAGGTCGTAAAACCACTCACAGTCTTAGTATCATTTTGGAGGCAGGTCGTAACACCACTCAAAATCTTAGTAACAATTCAGAGTCAGGTCGTAACACCGCTCACCTCTCTACATAAGCTTTATACATTGTAAGTTTTGTACTTAAATAAATACTCATAATAA